AAAATTCAAAACTTACTGTACTGACCTTTCGTCACTTATACTAGAACTAGAACACTCAGACGAAAACATCCAGTGAATCCCCTTCTTTACCTTCTGTCCTTTTCCACTAAATGGGTCCGATTTCTGTGCATCAGAGAGAAGAAAACAAGAATGGGAGAACTATCTAATTACTCCAAACTGAAAAAAAGTTACACTAGTAGTTGAATCCAGCTAAGTTACTTAACCTATCTCAGCATGGAAAAACTACAAACATAAGCCAATACATCCTATATATACTCACTGTATACCATCATATTTTTGTTCTTTATACATCTGAATACAACTTCCTTTCTCATTTCTCTATCCACCAAAGGAAGGCCCTATGCGGGTTATAGACTTACAGGCAGAATATTATCTAAGGAGGAAATCCTGAATGACCATGCATACAGCTATCTGACCAAACTTTTGTAGCACTTTTAGTGTTTTTATTAAAAAGAATGGAGTGACCTAGGTCAAGTCCACAGCTTAAAGAGCAATAAATATTGCAGAAACGTTGGAAGATAGAGTGAAAATCATGATATACAGAATAAAAGCCAATAGTACAACAAATACAAGAAACAAATGCACGCGTTATACATGTACAATACTAGGATATAAAAACTAAGTACTAAGAGACCCCTGTATTGGCCTTAGCCAAAATTCACTACAAGAGGAAAACGCATCAAGGCTGGTCTGAAATGAAAAAAGGCACCAGTTTGCCAATTTTTTCATTACCAGTCAGTTTTAAGAATAGTAACTATCACAGTAACTGATCTACCCCATACAGCCAATTTTCTTTCTTTTTTTAGGGTGGCAAGAGAGTCTAAACTCTAAAGAAAGTTAATCTTATACTTATAATTAAGCACTATGCACCAAGCTAAGTCTCCTGCTTGCTAAACCTGGCTACAAGAAATCTGTATATGAGATCTTGTATAACGCGTCTGTGCATTTCTCTCCCCATTTTGCAAGAAGCAGCTCCAAGGAAGGCTATGAGACCAGAAGAACCAATTTCACTTTCAAAGAGAATGTTTTCAACTACGTATTTAATTAATTCAGTCAAGCACTCTACCCTTGTCCAAGCCATGTCATGTCATTTCACTGATAAGACAAATAATCAGTGAGGGATTGTTGGCTTCTTTAGAGCAATGTAAAGCACTATCACTCTTTAAAGAACAGATAATCACACTTTGTCCCTTTCCATATTAAAAGGAATCTTTTATCATAACCCTTAGTAGAAGTGATGTACATACAGTGAATATGATTTTTGGGTCTCCCAAGAAAATATTCCATTGAACAATGTGATTGTCTATGCTTGTGGTTGATGTGGTTGGCCAAAATGATCTGATATTGACCATCCCACAAATATTAACTGCACCTCTATCTAATATTGTTCAGTAAATTTGCTGTTAACAGCTGGTATCTAACCAATTACTCTCATAGTCTCATACTTTCAAAACTCAATAGAATAAAATATGTTTGCGTTAGCCATATCCGGAAGCTTAATCATACTCCTTCTATCCTTACTTTCCTTTTTGGGTTGTACCTAAAACATCGAGCAACAATTTTTCTTTACTCTATCTACAAATCAACATGCTAAAGAAGAAATCTTCACGCCATTTAATACAACACTTGATGAAGTGAAAAAAGAGGACAGGGTGATCTTTCAGAGACGAAGGAAGTGGTAAATAGATGCAGTCCATGCAGCTCATGCTCATCAGATCAAAAATTACTTCAAATCCTTCCTTTGGCTAATACTCCGTATTCTACTAGTTGAGCTACTTTTTATTAGACCTATTGGTATTTAAAGCCATTAAAAGCAAGCCAATTGCTAAGGACTATATCTATCACTTATTGTTTTCACTGACCTCCTATAGCAAGCAAAAGAAGTGTGATGCATATCAGTATATCACTTTGTGTAAACCCTGTACGTAGCTATAGCCTAATGAAGCAGAGATTGTGGGTAATCTCAGTATTTCTTTATCGTCGTTCAAGCACAAGCAGTTACTCCTTTTCATCTATCTTACCATCTTATGGATGCAAGGAAAGATGGATGATTCACCTCCAGCGACTAACATAATATGAACAATGTTTGCAATATTATTGTATCTAGATTATATTATTTTACTAGTAACATTTATCTTTGCAATTACGACAAATGACAGAATAAAACAACCAAGTTAGCAGATGAAACACAAAAGAATATTGATCACAGCAACTTTGACCAACAATACCAAGCCTCAACAAGTTCCAAAAACCGTGTAGTACATATCAGCTAATTATCAACCAAAATAATGTACCTTAGCATAGTAATCCTTCCAAACCCGGCGAGCAATCTGATGACCTCCCAAATCAAAAGCTTTGAACTTAATTTTCCCAATGCTCAACTCTTCCGATGTCGGGTGCTGTGTTGGCTGATGTTGAACCAGCCTCTGCACTCACCATTCAGCCATTGCATATATCAAACAACAGCTCACTTAAATATCCCAACAAGATTAAATCACCCAAATCACTTCAATTTCTTCATCATTCAGTCACAAATCAGAATACAAGAAATAGAAATTTATACAACAATCAAGACCAAATTACAATTCTCTACATTACAAAATAAAGATAAATTAAAAGAGACATGCAGACACCCAACTATATAACTCATGGAGTCATGGATCGGATCACACAACACATCAAAACTCTAAATCCGTTATATTTTTATTAAGGAATTCCAAAGATTCAATTTTAATCCTTTAAATAGTTCACTAATATAAGATGGACATTCCGAAAATTCAATTTATTCTCAACTAAATTCATCAATATGTGATGGGTAATCCTTTTAATTCAATTTTTTCCCAGTAAAACTCATAAAAATAAGATGGGCTACATTATAATTCAATTTTCCCCAATAATCATACGTATGAGATGACCTTCCAAAAACATAATTCATTAATTTGAGATGGGCATTCCAAAAATTCAATTTTTCTCAGACAAATTTCATAAATATGAGAAGGGCAATCCTAAATTTCAATCAATTGAATAATCAAAGCAAAAACCGTGTTGAGAAATCTTACAAATAAATTAATTCCAACAATAAATTAATTCTAATCAACTATAAATTATGAACAAATTACCTCATCTTTGAGCATATGAAGGAGGGTAGTTTTACCGGCATTATCAAGGCCTAAAAACAAGATCTTGGCCTCCTTTTGCCATAACCCAAGAGAAGCTAAGATCCCAGAAAACCAATCCCAAAGAAACATAATTATAAATTAACTTTTTAAATATAGATTTTCTGGGATCTGGAAAAAAACAAAATTTGAGAAATTAATTTGAATAAAACCCAAAAAATTGAGATTGAAAATGTGGGATGATCAACAAAATGAAAATGGTTAGTGATAAATGCAGCCGACAGAAAGATTGATTGGGAGAGAAATGGAGTGATGAGAAAATCTTGAGAGAGAGAGAGAGAGAAAGAGGGGAAGGTGATGTGAGAGTTGGTGTAAGGATGTGTCATTGGGTTGTGAATTATGGAATTTTCCATACTATAATCTATTCAATTTTTAATTTTTAATATTTTTAGAAATTATCAATTTTATTGTAGGAAAGAATTCAAAAATTAGCTAAATTACAAGTTAAATAAACTAAACTTTCCTTAAAAAAAAAAAAAAAAAAAAACACTAAGGGTTTGTTCTCTTCAGATTATTTTCAGTTCAGTTCAGTTCTTAATTTCCTTCTAAAATATTCAATTCAGTTCAGTTTAGCTCCAATAAGTTTAGTTCAGTTCTTAATTTCCTTCTTTCATACTCCATAAAATATAATGTATTTTGTACTATTAAATGAAAAGGTTAAACTTTAAATGTACAATATTTCCTCAAATGCATTAGGAATTCCCCTCGTGAGGAGGGTTTCCTAATGTTTTTCATTTTTTCTTACTTTTTTTTAAAAAAATAATAAAAAATTAACAAAAGTAGATTTAATAATGTTTTGTTTTTCAAATCCAAAGTGATTCTTCCCTTTACTATTCAACATCACCAAAAAGTTTATTTTTTTTACCCTCTTTTTGTTCAACTTGGTTCCTTAATTATAAAATATGATGGTTTGTGGAGATAAAAAGTGAGGGGACGGTTTTTTCAAAGAAAAAAAAAAAAAAAAAAAAGTGGGGGGACGGTTGTCCCTCCATCCCCAACCCTTCGAGTGACAGAGGTTAGATCCTTCCCCCCTCCTCTTGTGAGGTTGTGATAGTAGGAATCCTCCCATAACTTACCTTTTTTAAAAAAAAAAAAAAAAATGTTGTGATTATTTGTTAATACATGAGATAAGTCAACAAATATGAAATAGAATGAGGCTATATTTCATAAACCAAAGTCAACATTGATCGGTGTTGAGTGACAAACACAAGACCAATACATATAGCCTAAAATCAAAAGTATCTACAAAGATGACGGCTTCCCAATATAGACGCCGAGACATCAAGTTGATTATTCAAATCATATACTACTATTTTGAATCTTTGATTTACTCCCAATACAACATACTCAAAACTGTACACATCTATTGTAGGCTTGTAAGCAAGACTTGTTATGGTCTAAATCAACTTATATGGCTCGGATAGACTTTTCATGCATTTACTTTAATTTTTCCGTAAATATGTCAAAATTAGCTCGGAAATTGATAACCTTCAGCTTTTGATAATAATCAACTATTTCAATCAAAACCAAAAAGGAAACATGGCTAAGGTGCTTCATATATATGGACCCCGCGACAGCTTTTTGCGATTTCAGTCGAGATATAAAGTTTAAGAACTTCTAAATGTTTAATTGAATCCGATCGAGGTATAGAGTGGTGTAAAATTTTTCCAAATTATAAACACTTAAAATATTAATTTAAAATTAGTTTACACTTCAATATATACTAGTTTATATTTTAATTTATACAGAGTACGTTGTAAAGTCAAGAATAAAGAATTAAATAATTAGAAAAAAGAAACAAAATCAAATACGAAGTATCTTTTTATACTACAAACACTATTCATTTCATTCCAAAATAATACACGAAAAGTGAAAAGAAAAACTTGGAAAAATTGTCTAAAGAGACAACACATAAATACAACTATGTACATGTAACATACTAACATGTACAACAATTGTTTGTGTGATTAAAACTACATTATCCTAATTAAATACATTCATAATTGTACAAATGCATAATTTTGAGGTTGAAAAGTGTAAAAAGAGATAATAATAAATTAAAGATTTATAGATTTAAGTAGACACTTCATGAAATGTTCTTGGGATGCTTCACAACCACCATGGGACACTTCACTTGTTTTGCACAATCGTAGCTTACACTTCCTAGAATAGTCCTGTAATCATGAAATTATAATTTAGATTATATTATATAATAATCTTAAATTAATTTTTTAATGCAAAACTTAAACAAATAATTACCTCTTTAAAAATCCATAACCATGACTTCCCATAACCAGCATATCAGCCCCTAGTTTCTCAACTGTTCCACAAATTACATCTTTGGCATCTCCACTCCCAACTTTCTTTTCTACCTTAATCTATAATTTATACAATACAAATAAATATTAACAGTTATCAAAACTAGCATATATAATAAATATTCAAGAAATTAAACTAAGGATGATTAATTAATTATGCAAAACAAGTGTACATACATTGATTATTTGGGACTTCATACAAACTTGTTGGGCTTTAGACATCACTGAATCAACAAGCTTCCTATAATAATCTTCCAAATCTGCTACAACATCATTTCCAAACAAATAACCTGCCAAAACAATTTTAATCTTAGTACAAAAATTATACTAAAAGGGTTCTTAAAACCCGATCTAGTCACCTGACCAAACTCATAAATTACTCCCTCCGTCCCAGAATTAAGTTTTTAACCTAAAAAGATGCTTACCGGCAACATCGAAAGCCGAAAAATTAGCCGGAGGAGGAGGCTTGACATAGAGAAGAACAAGAGTTGTAGAATTTGTTGAAACAGAAATTACGTTGTTTAGACACCATGATAAAGCATGCATGCTCTCTTCACTTTCATCTACTGCTACCACTATTTTTTTCTCTCCTCCATTTTCTACTTCCATTTTCTCTTTTTTCTTATTACAAAAATATCTTTTTTTATTATTATTATTTTTTTTTTTGTTTATTTTCTACAAAGTATTATTGCTTCCTTTTTTTAGCAGGTGAATAGAAAAAAAGATTTTTTCATTCTATTTATAGAGAAGATGAAGGTAGTGTTCATTATGATGGTTTAAATTATTCAGTTTGCTGAGGTGTTGTTGGTTTTGTAAATCTAAGGGTTTAAGAGTAAATTAGCTGCCTAGATATTATGAATTGAAAGGCTTATCATCTCATAGGTGTTAATGGTTTTGCTTAATGAATCAACGGTTGTGGACCCTAACGCTTTTTTGTACTCAATGATATTTTTTTTTTAAGAAAAAAGAATAGCTCAGTTAATTAGAACATTGTTCGAGTTTTAAAAGGTCTAAGACTCCTAGACACATGGAGTCATGGGTGAAAGAATTATTATGGAAATTTGATTACCATATAATTAGGGATTCCACTAGTTAGATCGAAGTACTATTAATGTTACAAGCTAGTATAAGGTTTTATAGTGAGTCATTAACCAAATGTAAAGTATGTAGTTTAAAGGAGACAGGGTCTAGTAAGTAGTAATACTATTTTTTAAATCATCACTTAACAACAGAGGTCTACAAGGTAAGATAGATGTTTCTTATAGACAATAATAATCATGATATTTTTCGAAATAGTAGTCACTTTAAACACCTTTTCATAAACAAATACTTTATCCTTTAATAAACAAAAAACTACTTGAGAATAATTATACGAGTTGTCTAACGTGTGCCTATTGATACAAAATAGTCACTTTGAACACTTTTTCATTCATACTTAGTAGGAAGTTATTAATAAGGCCTAGGATTACGCAAATTAAAAGCTTCTTGAGAATAATCTACTATTAACATTAAAGACAACAAAATTGAAGTAATTAAACTAATAACGAATTAAACTTGTAAGCTTAATTAATCAGAAGGCAACAACTCATTGAACCAAAGTTGATAAGAAGCTAGGAAGTTAAGCAATCCAAGCAATCATCTTATAAAAACTAAGGGTTATATTCGGGTTTTAAGCTAGGTTTCCAAGTGGGTAATGCCACAACTTCCACATTGATTGATAATGAATTAGTAAGTGAGAGAAATTGATATGAATAATAATGCCTTTCACTATCTAAGCTAGTACGTGATAGATGGAAAGTGGGTAGATATATTGTAGATGGATAGAATGAGTTAGATCATGAACAAGTTATGTACACAAACATTACTTTCATCTATCATTTCACTTAATTATAAATCTTTTTTTACTTTTAATCTCGTTTATCATTTTATAATAGCTTACAACTATCTTAAGTATAATAAGAAGATAAATATATATATAAAGCTAATTATTGTTTAGTGATTAATGTTTTAGGGTAGCTTTTGGTGCCTTAGGTTAAATTAAAAAAGGCAAGTCATAAATAGAATTTTTTTTAATAATACTAATCAACAAGTAATTTTATTATTCTTATATCTTTAGTTAATTTCAATTTACGAAAATGATGAAAAATACAAGTAATATAAACTTATAATATATATGCATCCTTAAATATAAATGTCGTATAAATGCATGATGTGCTTTATCATGAAAAAGGCTTGTTATCTACAAAGCACTTTATAGTCCACATACACTGGAGGGCTTGAACTTTCTTGACAATTATTTGATGCACAAAGTGACAAAAGATTTCAATAAGTTAGTTCTACCTATGAATAAATATCTTTTGTTTTTGTTTTTTTTTATTGAAACCTACAAAAATATCTAGATATGAAGTAGAAGTATGAACAATGAGACTTGAATTTACATTTGCATCCTTTTATACTTTGTTTCTGCTCTTCAACTCATTTTAAAAAATTAATTAAGTTCAAATAAGAGTTACGTAAGTTAACTTTACGACTAAAATAAGTTCAAGTAAATTTTAATAAATAAAATCCAAACAAATAAAACACACTCCTCCTCTACTTGTCAATATATACTTCATTTTAACTTATTTTATACATTATTTGTTAACTCACCTTACTTATCATTATTAATACGTGAAGATATATATTACTACATATTATAATGAACATTATTTTTTTTTTTTTTTGACATGCAAGTATAATGTTCGTTATTGAATTAATCTTGATGTATATCTTTATAATAACATAAAAAAAAAAAAAAAAAAAAAAATAGAGTTTTCTATGGTCAAATATATGCGTTTAATAAACACAAAAATAAAATTGATGCATCTAGAAATCAAATTATGTACTTGTCCAAGGAGTTAAAGATGCAAAATGGACTATATTGTTTGCTTTGCACATTTAAAGTAAATGGGCTTTCGACTATTCACACTGGGCTTCTTGGACCCGTTCCTGATTTAGGCTTATTGGACCCGTTTATGAGTTGGGCTTATTGGACCCATTCATAAGTTGGGCTTCTTGTATCGTTGGGCTTCTTTCATTATTGCATGCTTGGACCCTTGGGATGAACATTTCGTTCCTCTTTTCAGCGTTTTCACTTTTATTTTCAGCTTTACTAAGCCTCAATGCCCATAAATCCACAAAACTGTAGCGAGCAAAAAATACTAGGTACTTTTAGGGGGCGTTTGGTTCAAACAATGGTATAGGTTTGGAATGAGGAATGAAACCTGGGTGGTATGGGGTTGGAACTTAATACTTGATTTCATGTGTTTGGTTTTTATCTAGGAATGATAGTTTTCCTTTTAATTTTAAACTAAAGGTATGGGTATGAACCATACCCACCTCCCCCCTTGGGTTTCAAAAACCCATACCTTGGGGGTTTGAGGTATGGGTTTGAAAAATAAAATTTCTAGAAACAAACACAAGGTATGGGTTTTGGTCATTCCAAACCCATACTGTTTTGGGTGTTTTTGTCCATTGGGAGAGTTACAGCACGAAGACTGATCCGTAGTGAGCTGTACCTGCAAAACAAACGGAGACACCGGTTGGGTGGTGCTCCGCCTCCGACGCACAAGTCAGTAACTTGAAACGGAATAGAGAGAACGGAAATTTAGGTGGGTATCTGCTCGGATTCCAAGCTCAGGTCTTTCTCTGATGTAAGAGAATAAGGGTGTAATTAATGATTCAATCTGTGTCCCCCAAAGTGGGGAAATATCTCCCTATTTATAGGGTCGTTGGAAAATGCGCCCCTATCTAGGTTACTTGACCTAGATTTTAGTGGGCTGCGCCGTTTTACGGCGTGCTTAGGAATCTGGGCCTTTGAAGGCCGTCATTTTGGAAACATATCTGAGGGCGCCAAGTGTCAAGAGGATGTTGAGCCACATGGGCCATCCTAAGCTCGACACGTGGCGACCTCTCATTGGTCCACGTGTCTAGGGTAAAAATACCCTAAACATTTGCCCCTCACAGGTCGCACGTGCATGTCACGTGGGGCCTGTGACACGTGTCCATCTTTCATAGGTGAACAATAACGGGTAAAATTTTGAATTTCAAATCAAAATTTCCCCCCACTTTTACTTTCTATAAATAGAAAGTTACCCCCCTCCTTTTCACTCTTAACGTTCATATTGAGTTTTTAGAGAGAGAAAAAGAGAGATTTCTAGAGAGAGAATTTTCTCTGCTCCCGCCTTCATAACAGCAAGTTTCAAGCTTCCGAGTGCTAGAAGTTCATCACCCGGCTCACCGGCTGTAGCGGTTTTCAGTTTTTCCAGAGTTAAAGCAAGGTAACCGCCTGTACCATTTTAGCTTTTCTCCCTTTCAATTTGCATACCGTTTTTCGCCTGTATACCCGGCTTTCTTAATAGAACATAAATGAGTTCCCAATCCACCCACTCGGCACTGCCTAGGACACTCAACCGATCCCCAGGAACGGCTGAGTCTAGAACAGGGGGTGCCTCTTCTGGACTGTCGGAACCAATATGCTCATCTCCGAATTCCTCCCTCTCTGTGTCTGTGCAGGACACAATGGCCAGAACGAAACAAACGGCCAGGCGGTCTAAGAGCCGGCGCACCATGAGAGTGCCTGCTGATGAGGTTTTCCCGGAAGGGGATCCGAGGAATTTGGAGGAGAGCGGATCTGACGAGGAGGCTCCCTCTACCTCCGGGAGCTCGGGAGTAAGAGAGGTGGGCGGCGAAGGAGTCGCCTCCTCAAATGAAGCCGGCGACGTTGAAGCCGGCCAGGGACCAAGAGCGGAATCCTCTGGCTCTGACCAAGGAGATTTCGAGGCTGACTATCAGCAGCCGCCCAAAGTTGCTGACCATCCCAACCCCAAAAGAACCCGGATGCTGCCGAGTAACATTGCCCTTCTTAATAGCGGGTTCAGGGCTTTTAAAGAGAAACATCCATTTGGAAAGGGTTGGGAAGTTATTGTCCCTCCAGCTGATGCTGCGATGGCCTGGGGGGATGACATTGACCATGCAGATGACTACTTCATCTGCTATGAGGCGGTAATAGAAACCGGCCTCCGGTTCCCCCTCCACCCCGGGATTAGGAAAATCCTTAAGGGGTATGATCTGGGGGTTTGGCAGCTCACCCCTAATTCGTGGGTGAACATATTATGTTACATTGCCGCCTGCGAGTTCCAAAACTTGAACCCCAGCTTCTCTGCCTTCGCTCATATGCACTACTTGAGCAAGGCTCCAGGCGGCCATGGGGCATGGTATACGCTGACTACCCTGCCCCAATATCTAATGACTTTGGACAAAGTGTCCAAGTGGTCCGGGTGGAAGGAAAAGTTCTATTTGATTTCCTCTCCAACCCTAAGACACAACTGGACACTACGCCGGTACAACACTGAGCCGGCTCTTCTTGGACGCAAATGCCCTCTTCCGGAACTATCTACTAAAGTCCGGGAGCAAATCTTGGAGCCGGGATTTTTTGAGACAACAACTGAGCCCATGGGGGATGGGACTCACATCATAGTTCCCAAGAACTGGATCCCCCATCCGGACTTCTTCAAAGATGAGTGTTTCTTGTCCGCCTGCGGACTGAGTACGATGTTTTCCAGGGGTAGAATACTTCTCATCCGGAATGATTGTCATTTTATTTTTATTGCAAACTTGCCTTAATTCTTTCTAACTTGACATTCTTGTTTTTGTAGAAGAAGCCCTGAGGATGGTTGACCAGGATA